GGTCTGAATGGGCTCTAAAGGAAACCCGTACTAAGAGAAGAGAGACGGTCATTTACAACCTCTCCTTCTGAAATTGCTTGCTACCTACCTGTCATGGCAGACCACTGACACATTTATGACTATACGCAAGCCATAGAACCTTCCAAGAGGAAAGAAGCACACATTTTAGCACCAGGCCTGGGCAAACTCCCAACCATTTCATAAAGCCAAGGTCGGAAAATTAATATTTACCAAACAAAAGAGATATCCTTATGTGTTTACACAGCAGCAGTCTAAATAAACAACTAAAAGCACAACAACCAAAAGTACCCGCACCTAAATAAACAAGAGACTTCATCAATGAAAAAACAACGTTGTTCATAGCTGCAAAACTGAGTGTTCTAAAAATACAACAAATTTCCCTCTACGGACATCACTGCCACAACTTTGCTTTTATAATAGTTTTTCAAAGTCTAGAGTGAGTTACAGTGTAAACACTGACAACAAATCAGGAATTGTAACAACTGAACCAAAACTAAGGCCCCGTTCACACCGGGGCGGTTCGGTCGAGCGGATCTGCTGACATGAACGATCCCATACATTGCTATGGGGACCGTTCATGTAACCGTGCATGTCCGCGAGATGCGAATCGCCTCCCGCCGAATTTCTTCATGACCCCTTTTTTCCACGCTGATCAGTGCGGTTTCCATACTGCTTTCAATGGAACTGCACTGTTCAGCGCTGAACAGCAATTAGAAACTCCAAAACAGCGCTGATCCGCAACCGCCCTGGTGTGAATAGGGCCTTAAGTGACACTAAACCCAGGAGTTAAACCTTAAAAATGCATTTAAGTCCCTTAAAGGAGAACTATGAGGTTAGTGTTTTTCACTCACCTCATAGTTCTAGCCGACCTGTGACAATGAGACTGTCACAGGTCGGCTCAGTAGATTGGGAAGTGAGCGAACACATAACGGCGTTCGCTCACTTCTCGATCCTGTCACGGCCCTCTGCCGTGACAGGGGAGGGCCTGGATATACCGCTCCAATCCTTCAGCGCTGAGTGGCGGAATGGACGGGGGAGGGTACAGCTTGCTCTGCCTCTAGATAGGCAGAGCCAGCTGTCACTCACGCAGCTGGGCGGATCCAGACATAATTGTCGGGATCCGCTTCAGCTGCGGCGTCTCAGTATACCGCGAGCAGCTAGGACACGCTAGTTTGTGTCCTTCCGTTACCCTAAGGAGAACTATGGGGAAAAGCACTAACCCAATAGTTCTCCTTTAACTGTTAACAAAAATATATCTTATTTGTGTATCACTCGGCTTTAGATTCTTAACTCATCTCTGAATTGGTGCTGACACTGTCCTTCCTTCTGGAGGGTGGCTACTTTTGTTCTCCATGGTCCCTGTGTGTGTTGTAAAGTAGCCACCGCTCCAAGCTCACTCCCGTGATGGACTACGGTCTTAATACAAATTAGTAAACTAATAATGAGATTGTAGTCCATCACAGGAATGATCTTGGAGCGGTGGCTACTTTACAACACACACAGGGACCATGGGACATGTGTCCTGGGATGATGTGATCTTGCACAATTGCACACAGTGATTGCTATGTGGCACCATTGATTTGAAATGGAATGACCTAAATCAAGGCACAGGATGCCAATACCCCTGGAAATGGTATATCAAAAAGTTAGGAAAGTTGGGGTTTTTTGGGCAGCCGACTGACAACTTACAAACCAAACATTTTTTAGAAAAAATATTTTATTTGATTAAAAGGTAAGTAGAATTGATAAAATTGACAACATGATTCCCCTGTAAGCTCACTCCACATTAGTTAAGTTCATTCATATAAAGATGACATTCAGAAACTTATGCAATGGAACATGATTGAAAAACATGATAATTGAAAAATTCATGGACACATGACATGATTGGTATAAAGAAAGGTGGTGGAGGAGCTTGGTTTTCTCAACGTTTCGCACTAGATAGCGCTTCTTCAGGAGATGGAGAGGGAAGTTGTCTATACAATTTAAGAAAGATATATAGAAGATATAAACATCATTGAACTTATAACACATCCACTTGAACTTGTCTAGTGGTATGGTACACAGGTGGATATATGTATTTAAATATATCACCTACCCTTGGAGTCTGTGTGCGTCCCAGTCGTTCCACCCGGCTCAGACGGTGAGAGAGTAAAAGCATAAGGCAGGGGGGGAGGAAGAACAGGAGAGAGGGAGAAAGGAAAAATGGATGCTCTAGACCCCAGTGGAGGCAGACCCAATCAAGAGATGGCGGGGGTACCTTGTTAGAGAAGCAAATCAAAAGTTAGAGGATACCATTTGGGGCCTCAAAGGAAATCATAAAACTGAATCTGAGTATCAGTGGGAACAAACCACTGTACCCTGTCGTCCTTGCTGGACATAATACTTGAAATAAGTACATACCACTGCTCGCAAAAGACGCTGGGGGCTCGCGAGCCCCCAGCGTCAGTGTACAGCCTGAGAGGGCTGTATTAGCTGCTGGGGGCGCGATATCGAGATAGAGAGGAACGGCTACCTCACGACGCTGACCGACAACTTTTTGTATCCACCTCCAATCTTTTGCGAGCAGTGGTATGTACTTATTTCAAGTATTATGTCCAGCAAGGACGACAGGGTACAGTGGTTTGTTCCCACTGATACTCAGATTCAGTTTTATGATTTCCTTTGAGGCCCCAAATGGTATCCACTTTTGATTTGCTTCTCTAACAAGGTACCCCCGCCATCTCTTGATTGGGTCTGCCTCCACTGGGGTCTAGGGCCTCCATTTTTCCTTTCTCCCTCTCTCCTGTTCTTCCTCCCCCCCTGCCTTATGCTTTTACTCTCTCACCGTCTGAGCCGGGTGGAACGACTGGGACGCACACAGACTCCAAGGGTAGGTGATATATTTACATACATATATCCACCTGTGTACCATACCACTAGACAAGTTCAAGTAGCTGTGTTATAAGTTCAATGATGTTTATATCTTCTATATATCTTTCTTAAATTGTATAGACAACTTCCCTCTCCATCTCCTGAAGAAGCGCTATTTAGTGCGAAACGTTGAGAAAATCAAGCTCCTCCATCACCTTTCTTTATGCCAATCATGTCATGTGTCCATGAATTTTTCAATTATCATGTTTTTCAATCATGTTTTCCATTGCATAAGTTTCTGAATGTCATCTTTATATGAATGAACTTATACATTTTTGTTAATAGTTAAGGTACTTGAATGTATTTTTCAGATGTAACTCCTGAGTTTAGTGTAATTTTCATTCATCCATATCCGGATCTCATTACTAAATGAGGACTAGAAGGACATGGGGAGCCATTGGTCCAAAAAACACCAGCCCCTCCAAAACAGTGGAGCTGTGAGGTACTAGTGACAGGTTGCATGTTGTGACACCTTTGTAAATACCTTCTTAGTTCTCCAGACTGACCCGTCCTTCTCCCCACTGCTTATCTTAACCTGGTTTTCTGAATGACAGCGGCATCTAAAACTATGTCCCAAGTTAATCTTTAATAGCACGAAGCCATCGCTCATGGTCTTTTTTATTGTTGCTCTACCATAATTTCTACATTCTCCCTGCAACTAAATTACCCGAATTATCGGCACTGCTCAACTGACGGCTGGAAGACAACGAGGGTGACAGTTTGACAGGCTGTGTTCCACAAGGACTGTGATGTGCTTTCTCACATTTTTGGCAATGAATGTTCCATACTAAATAGCTGGTTTAAAAAAAAATAGCAGTGGAAAAAAAAAAAAAGCTAGACGCCGGTACTGTCTTTTTAAAAGACCTGTATCTACATTTATATACTAAACAAATATTCTCATTGCCATATATAAAGAGGGGAATTTATCAAAACTGGAGCAGACAAAATCTGGAGCAGCTGTACACTTCAACCAGCTTCTCTCTTTCATTTTCAACACTTAACTGGACAAACTGAAGAGAGAAGCTGAATGGTTGCCATGCACAGAGGCTCCAGCTTTTCTCTGCTCCAGTTTTGATAAATTCCCCTCAAAGTGTTTTCATATACATAACAAATATATTAGTGATTAGTGCTTCTGCCTTGCAGTACTTGGGGTCTCCGGTTCGAATCCTGGTCAGGGCTTTATCTGCATGGAGTTTGTATGTTCTCCCTGTTCTTACGTGGGTTTCCTCCCACACTCCAAAAGACATGCTGAAAGGTTAATTGGCTCCTCTCTAAATTGGTCCTGTGTGTATGTATGTGAGATAGGGACCTTAGATTGGGCACGGATCTGATGTGAATGTGCACTTTGTAAAGTGCTGTGTAAAATTGTCGGTGCTATATAAATACCTGTAATAAATAAATACAATTTATCAAAACTGGTGCAGATGTGCATGGCAACCAATCAGCTTCTCTCTTCAGTGTGTTCAGTTATGATTTGAAAATGAAAGAGAGAAGCTGATCGGTTGCCATGCACATCTGCTCCAGATTTTGTCTGCTCCAGTTTTGATAAATTCCCCTCATTAAGTTTTATTGTCAGGTTGAAAAAAGACACAGGTCCATCAAGTTCAACCTATGATCCTCCATAACTTCTAATTTTTTTTTTGAGGGGGGGGGGTTAACTGCACTTATGTTATATGAAAACTATGCAGGATGGCGATCCACCTATGTATCCTGTTAACATGCTCGGTATGATGAGTTATTACAAGGCGCTGCTGTTAAGTATTGCAACTGACAGTGGACTGTATGTGTGACAAGGCAAAGAGCTACATGTACAAGCGTCGTGACCAATAGTAACCAATGAGCAATCGTCTCTGATTGTTCCAACTGATCCAAACCGATAACAGGCGATATCTAATTTCTGAGTGCAGCTCACTTCCACTTTGAACACCACTCATTATGCTTTTGCTGTTTGGGTTGCCCTCTTGAAGAGCCAGCAACCCCAAGTCAGCTGCCCCTTAACAATAAACGGGGCAACTTGCCTTTACTTGTGTCAATTACTGGGAGGTCCGCCGTGGTACCCTGCTTACCTGTGGATGTTGTCTCCATGGCAACCGCTGGATGCCCTGCCAGCTGAGCCTTGATGGTCCCTCTCTGGTCCAGAGAGCTCCAGGCGCCTCCTGCTGATTCTCTCTCCTCCTGTGCCTGCACAGGGCGCCTGTGAGCCGCCGCCGCCGCCACATCACCTTCCATCCATCCGCTCAGCTTCTGCGGATTAGCGGCCATGACTCCGTGTGTGGCAGTTGTGTACGGGAAGATCGGGGGGGAAGGAGGGAGGGGACCGGTCAGTGCTGCAGTGTCTCCTGGAAGATGCCACAACCACTGGAGCGTTACGCAGGTGGAAATGGCTTGTGTAGTTTCCACTAGTTCCACCCATACGTCACGGCCCCGGCCGACCAATCACAGGCCGGTGTTAGCCAGGCTTAGCTACCGCCCTGCAACCCTTCCAGCGCTGGAGCAATGCGCAAGATGCGCGCAGGTTGCTTGCTGCTCGCACAAATAGGGCTCCGAAGGGTTAAAAGCTCGCAGTCTGCAGCATTTAAACGTGTGAAATATTGCTTAATTAGCTGAGAAATCTTTTGTGTTTGTTGCATGCCAATTCATGTTAACAATAGCTGGCTAGAATGTCTCTGCGCTCATTTTTCTGCCTTCATAATCTCATGCTGGCTTCAGTGAACTAACATTATCATCGCTATAGTTTAGGCTTTATTTTTGTTGGCAGCAATAATCAGATCTGGGGCCTCTCTGTACTTGCATAGACAAACACAACGTTTCAAACGGTAAAGGCTTTCTGCGGAAGCCCTATGCTTCCCTATGTTGTGATGAAGTGCAGAGAAGTCCCATGACCAGGATAATGTTTCTGAGGATGATGCGTGGACCCTGGATGCTGCCATGAGTATGGATGGTTGCTCCCTAGCTTAAAATATTAAAGAGACACTAACAGGGTTGTTCATTAATGGGTGAAGAGTTTGGAGAAGGCAGAAGAAGTGAACAATCTAGGACAACATGGTTGAACTAGAAAGATAATTTTTCCAAATCGGCTATTTTGTCTTAGCTTGTTCTCTTCTCCTGCCCTCTCCAAACTCTTCACCCTTTAGTGAATAACCCTGTAAATCTTAAAAATCCATTCAAGTACCCTATTAAAGCAGACCTTTACACTCAAACATCAAATTCTACCAATGCATCCCTCTATTTATGATGATTAATAATAACATACATAGACATGTACGGTGTAAAATGCTGGGATTTTGAAATACACTTGCAGAGCATTCAATTCCCGGCTTTGAAAGGGCAAAATGACTTCAGTTTGTCAAAGCAATGCACACTGGGATTGCCTTGTCATCAGCAGAGGATTGCTGGGAAATCTCATCTGAAATCTCAGGGAACGGCATTTTCCTCCCCTGAGATGATGTGCATGGTCACATGTCCTAGTCACATGTCTAGTCACATGTGCTAGAAATCCAGGAAGTAATATGAGAGCTAGTAATCTGCCCTTAGTAAACATGGCTGCTGTCAGAAGACTGGGGAAGAAAAGAGAAGTAAGGAATGCAAAAAAATACAAAGCCGGCAATTGTCTAGAAGCATGTGTGTGTAGATTGTCATTGCTAAACATTTCTAAAGGTGTGTTTGTTGTTTTTTTAAAGATATGGGTAAAGGCAGTTGACAATTTTGGGAGTGCCTGATGCAGGTATTCCGCACCGTGTGTGGCTGCACTATTCTCTTTTACAAGGAACCTTTTGAGAATGCTTTATATGTGAAAACTGGTAGTCAATTACTCGTAGGAACTTGCTTCAGATTATAATAAAATGGCCAAGCTATGAGAAGACAAGCAAACCAGAGAGTGGATAGAACAGTATACAGAGCCAGAGGCTTGATGGAAGGTAGTTGATCATCTAGCACACTGTGTACACTGTGCCAACAGATAAGACAGAAGTGTGGTTGAGGGCATAGCTAATGATACTACAAGGGCTAACCAGAGAGAGCAAATGTAGACGGGAATCAAAGCAAGGTCAGGGAAGGTAAAAGAGGTCTTGTTAGCTTAGGACAAGGGAGGTCATCTTCAAAGGGCAATTGTAGAAAGAGCACACAGTCACCCCATGAACATAAAAAACTCTACAATGGGCAGCTTGAAAGAAGAACATATTGATCTTTAAAGCAAATTTCCACCTTTCTAAAACAATAATCAATTTACACTTCTTCATAAAAGAAAAAAAATGTATGTTTGTTCTTTTTTGCATAGGAGCCACGAAACCATTGCAACAGCGATCAGTGGATTGTGGGTGCAATGCTCTGGCTCCTGCGGACTCTTCCTCCCATCCATGTTTGGTACCAACATTCAGTAACATGGATGGGAGGAAGTGCCAATGGATTACAAGTGTGGTGACATTACCGCACTTGTAGTACATGGAGAACAAGGGATGCACAGATACCGGTTTTTCGGTATTGAGTACGAGTACCGATATTTTTTTGTAGCGGAAGTCCATTAATGAAGCCAACTTCTAGAAACAGGATGTCTTGCTGCACTCCTTACCGAAACAACCCCAAAACTGGGTGGGTGCTTGTAGTGACCACGGAAGGCACCGTGTAAATCACAGAAAAGAGGAATAATGTCACCAGCGCACCGTTTTTGTAAATCAATCATCCATTTTAATGGCACATTGCCATCCAATACAAGCGCTTTCGGGGCCGCAGGGGGTCCCCTTCATCAGGCTCAGAATGACTGTCAACCTACTGAGTGGTTTTTCCTGTGATGGCAAAGTAGGTCTGATGCAGCCCCAGTTGCACTTTAATTGTGTAGCATGGATGACCATTCTGAGACTGCCAGTGACCTTCTTTGTGTTTGTTTGCTTGCAACAGCTCATGTTTATATCCATTAGCATCAAAGGCAAAGTAGGTCAATTGCAGCCCCTTTTATGACAAAGGAACTGTATGGTGTGGATGACCATGACCATTTGACGCACTTTACGTTTCTTCAGACTCAACAGGTCCTACTGAGCCGTGTTTGCGGTGAGGGCATAGTAGGTCAAATGCAGCCCCTGCTCCGCTTTGCATTCACTCTCATGCAATTGAGAAGTGTTTATAGACAAACCTTGTCAACACCTGTCCTAAGTCAGTCTTTACTGAATGAAAACTATCACTTATTGGTTCCAGTGTTCCCACTCACGCGCCAACTCAGCTCTTTCCAGAGTAGCGTATAAATCGCTCTTTTTCGGCCTGTTTATCTGAAGCAAGACTTTTGATTTGATTTTTTTCACACACCATTACTCTGAGTTAGTGGCAGAACTACCAGTGTTGCAGCGCTCGTGCAGCACACTGACGAAGCATTCCTCCACTACCAGTGTTCTATAATTTTCCTCAACCCATACATTTCTCTTCCAGGTGCGCATGTGCATGAAGAAAGGGAGTCATGAACACAGCTGATTCAGATGACGCGGCCCCACCATAAGTGACAGGTTCGAAAAAATGTATAGGGTCGAGAAAAATTGTAGAACACTGACTTTGACACTGTCCGGCCCCTCCCACTTACCTCTCACAGCTCACAGCCCAGAAGCATGGACAGCCAGCGGCGGTCTACAGTGGGTGAGAGTGCCTAAGTAGTGGACATGGAGCGGAGTAAGGCCAGAACCATGTAGGGAGCCCAGCAGGAGGAGAGCACCATCACCCAGTCAGTCACCCCTTGCATGGACTTACTACGAGTCCTCACATCACCCGACCATTCACACTACCGTTACATGGATTGCCAAAGTGGCAGACGGGCGGGGGGAAGCGGGGGCAGAGGCAGAGCGGGAGGGGGCCGAGTCGCTGCACCATGGGCCTCTGGGTTGTACTTGCCCCCTGGGCTAAAAGTTGCCAGTCAGCCCCTGCCATCTGAGCCCTTTATTGTCTGCATGGCTTCAGTGTTGTCTTGATGACAAAGCTCGGCTAATAGCAACAGGGTGACAAGTGAAAGCTTTGGCTAGACAATCAGTCTGCAGTATTATGTGTGGGCCACTATGCAGAAACAGCCAGAGAAGGCAGCAGGGTGGAATCATCCAAAAAGCAAATGAATACATCCCCTCAGACACTGCGCCTGCCAATGTGTTCAGCACCTTATGTTTTAATGAGTGTATCCGTCTGGTTCTAGCGCCCAGAAATACTGGATTTGTAACAGACTCTATGTCAGTATTTTTGCATGTGATGATAAAAATAGCTGATTAAAATATTGTATGAACACAGAACAATACTGTTTTTACTATGTTCTAGGGCCCATTTACATCTTTGTGAGGAGTTACGTCGCATGTTAATGTGCATTGCGAAAAGGCAGCCCTTTTAAAATGAATTGGCTGCCAAGTCACAGGACCCAAAAGCACTTATCTTTTTGTTCTAACAAACCCACAGTAGTAAGTTGGGGTGTGACGTGCATTACCGCAATGTGGAAGTGTAAATGGGCCCTTCTGACTTTGCAGTGCGTTGACGTGGCTGTTTTTGGTGACACAATGCACTGCAGCGTCTGCGCTTTGAAGCATAATGTAATGCAGGTGCGTTGAGGTGCCATTCAAAATGATTGGCGCCGCAATGCAGCAACACATGTAACCTTACCGCAATGTGGAAGTTTAAGTGGGCCCTTAAAGTATTTTCCCTTTTATAGAGTGAACATCACAGATCTCTGCACTATACTGGAGAGGAACAATGTGGGCAGCAAGAGTTTAAAAGAAAGAACAATAGCTACATACTAATAATAAAACATCCCCTCGGGTCACATTATACATCCAGGCTTGCTTAATACTCAGTAAAGCTCAACTCCAAGCAGAAGGTGAGCTTTCCTACATACCCCCAAAACCTCCATTGAAATACAGCACATGGGGCATGTGTAGTACGCCCTGACTTTCTGCCCCTCCCCCTGCATTTGCCAGAATTTTACAGCTGCCAGATAGAGAGATCCACAACAACATGGTTATTTTTGTACCGTATTTATTGTTTCATTCATCTGCAATTCAAAGGGAATGAGCTTTAATCTGCATCTAGTGCACTAGTCTGCATTCATCTTTTTAGATAATATTTGTTCCTATTTAACCTGTTATTATCCCTTAGTTTGCCATAATCAGTCCTAACTAACTCCATCTTCCCTAAGCTATTATTTTCCTGCTGATTTTTGTTGTTGTTT